GAAACTGCATCCAACCTTTCCTTAAAACATAGCGTCAAAACATTTTCTAACTTCAGTTCGCTGTTTCCTCAAAAAAAAAACAACTTCAGTTCACTGTAGGTATAAAGGAAAAAACACTAGCTTATCAAATTCATTGTACAAACTACAAAGACACACATGGATAAAAAAATTATGCAACTTTATGCATGTTTTACACTTCTCAATCTTTACATTCAATTTCCATATCTCAAAACCCAAACAAATTACATTCAACTTAAGAGATGTTTTCTCCTCAAACTCGCAGCGACTGGGATCTCTAAAAGTGCACCTTTTTGTAACCCTCCTACCAATGTTATTCGGAGATCAAGCTACCTTATTACTACTCCAATTACATAAAACTTCAGGATATTTTGGTGATCCTTTTAACGTAGCGTTATGGGTAACATCACTTCACCATTCGAAGCATACGAGAAGTCATCAATACACCAACCCATTGAGACACAAATAATGCCTTAAAGAGAGACACATATAATGCCTTAAAGATATCAATCATCGCCATATAAAAAGAAAGTACTATACAACAAACAAGGGAAAGAGATTTTCCCATAACTCCACACATTGTACATAAAACAAAAAGAATTCCATAACAAAGCTATATCAAAAGACAAAAGCCTAACTTATTTTCTAATATTGTGCACGAAAAACTCCCAATCTATTTCCTTATTAAACAGGAAGCGTACATAGATTAGTAATTTTGTAACAAAACCAATACATAAAGTTATATACAATCATAATTGTTGAACATAGAATTGCAAAATCTTGATATATTTCGTACATTTATCAAAGAAGTTAACAGTAAAACATCAATAATTGATTAGATAAGAAGTTAATTAATCAAAATAAACAAAATTAAAAGTAAAAAACAGATAAAACACCTTTAAACCAAGCAATTTAACAAGTGTAGCCTGACCAGGAACAATGCAATCTGGTCCTGCAGACTCCAATACAGCATCTACAGCTAACCATTTCCCACTGGATTTGAATCCTGCAAAATCAAATTACATGAAAAAAAATAGATAAATAACTAACAAAATTACAACCCAATAACCCAAATTTAATCCCAAATTCATTGATTAAAATTATGAAAGAAAAAACAGAGAAAAAATAAGGGAAAAAGGAAAGAAAATAATACCCTCATAATGGAAACAGCGTAATTGGAAAAGGGATTTTGAGGAATGCGAAGAACAGGGGAATGGTGAAGTTTGGGAATGGGTTTCCCTTGAGAAGCCCTCCAAGGAGCATCCTTTTGAAGCCCTACTCCACCTCCTTTCTTTGACATTTCAATTTTATTTATGGCAAATTTGTCTTAATTTGAAGTTTTTTTTTTCAAAATTATGAGAAAGAAAGTGGTGGAAGTTTAGAGGAAGAAGATGAAGTTATGAGATAAATTTTGTGAAGTGAGGATTTTGGGTAAGCTCGAATTTGGATTAGGGGACTAACTCCTAGTCTTTTACAATTATCAATCACTAAACATAAAATCAAGCAGAAAAACGAATTACCTTGTCATTACCCAGGCAGTCATAGTACTTAAGCTTCTCCACATAGGTGTAATCCCCATTACTCACCTTAAATTGATGCAGTCCCACCTACATCCCAAAACAAAGTAAGAAAACAGTCCACATAACGACTTAGAGGTCATAATAAGTTTAACCACGGCAGGTATCACAGGAGTAAGTCTCTTGCATCATTAATTGATGAATTTTGCAGAAAAACTTACAGTGGTGGCTGTGGTGCAATTCCAACACCATGATATTCCTATTCCCAATAAACAAAATAACAGATGGAAAATGGACAATGCCAGAAAGGAAAAAAACGCCTGAGCCAAAATAGCGTCTAATTAGAATGATCATAAAATACTGAATTTTCTACTGACTGATTTGCTATCCAAATAAGCATGAACGACACATAGGCACAGACTCATTCCATAACTGGATGCAAAGAAAAGAAGGCATATGGGGGGATAATTATGTCGATGAAAAGTGGAAAGAATAAAATACATGCATAGAAACACCTAAACAAATATTCTACAGATTATAGAAGTCAGCTACAAGAATACATTCCAAATGAGTTCAATCTACATCATAATGGGGTACATTTTACCAAATTGAAAATTAGGGTTAGAGCTTACCTTGAAATTGTGAAATTGGAATTTGGGGAAACCATAGTAGATCTAAACACAAATCAAAACACATAAAAACCAGAACCGCAAAAGGAGAAGCAGACCCAAATGGAGAATCCGAATGGAGAATTAGAATGAAGAATTCGAATGGAGAATGAGCTAGCTTTAATTTACAGATGAGGGAGAGAATTTACCTGAAATGCACCGGAATTTTGTCGAAACGAACAACCCATCGGAACAAACCGGAACTGACCAGGCCACACCACGACGACGTAAAACACCAGAGCACGGCGACGGAATAATGAAAGGAGGTGGCCGGCGGTCGACAAGGAGATCGAAGGAGAGAGAAAAGGAAAGGGAAAGAGATGGAGGAAAGAGAAAGAAAGAAGATAAAGGCCCCTTTTTTTTTTACAATAGCATTCGCACCGGTTCGAACCGAACCGGTGCGATTAACCCATTTTTGCACTGATTTAGTTTGAACCGGTGCGATTACTCTTTCCCTCAATCCCGCCTATTCTTTTCCGCATCGGTTTTTAAAAACCGGTGCGCATTTTTCGATGCTCATTTATGTTTTTCTACTAGTGCTACCGGCTGTTTTTGCCCCTATGCGGTTGTGCTCCTGGTTTTCAAAGGTAAATTGATAGACTTGGAAATTTTTGATACTATAGAGAGTATGACTGGTTTCCAAGTCAATCAATCACAATGGTGATTGCCCCAAACCACGCGGACAGTCGGCCATTGCACAGGCGGGTAAGCGTTCAATAGTATCTGGCCATTGGCCTCTTTAGATATTTCTAAGACGAACAATGCTTAGCTGCTATGTTTTTTTACTTAGTTTATTTTATTATTTGGAAACTGGCCGTTAGTTTTGCACCTGGGCAATAACAGGCTTTAAATAGGATATCCAACTAAGATAGCGACCGCTTGTTATATTACAAGCGGTATCTTTTAGTTATCTTGGTTTCATTAACCTAAGTGGGAATAACGGCCAAATACCGAATGGTGTCAATGAGACATGCGGTTTGTTCGTTCCGTTTAGGTTCCATTTTAGATTATACAGGTCAAACGGCTATGAGTTAGCCCACTTTGGGTTAATTAGTCTTTGCCGCTTGTTTTTGGGTTATAGAGCAATGTGCCACCCAAATGGGAGATGCTCTCTCCGACGAATTCACCCGGATGGGCGTCGCTGAACGCCTTCTCATGTTGGAGTAGATGGATTATTGTTTAGAAGTAGACGGCAATGAGCCGTATCTAGGCGCTTTCAATGTTTAGCTGCTAAGTTATGGACTTAGCTTATATCCTCAAATTTATCCATCTGTATTTCCCTTAAGCAACAGCAGGCGGTATCTGACCAAGATAGTAGCGAGTTTCCATTTTGTTATGCAACAGTCGGTAACCCCTGTTATTCTTTAGGTCTCATTTGTTCAATTCAAACTGCGCGAGCTTATCTTAATCCAGATAGTCGGTAGGGCCGTTTGTTTTTAAGTTTATAGAGCAATGTTCCACCCAAATGGGAGTTGCTCTCTGTGACGAATTCAGCCGGATGGGCGTCGTCAGATGCCCACTCATGTTGGAGCAGGCGATGGTTTGTAATATTATCCGGCCATTGGCCTCATTAGGTTGTTCTAAAAGGAACAACGCATAGCTGCTAAGGTTTTAGACTTAGCTTATGTCTACTCATGTTGCAGCAAATGTAAAATTTTAATAAGGTCGCCTGTACATTGTACATACGGTACTCCCATTGGGAGATGTACATAAAAATAATAGATAAAAACAACTCTTTATTTATGGGCTTTCTACTTTTGAAAAATTACAAGCCTTAGAAGTAGTAATTTTTTAAGTTGTCTACATTCCAAATTCTGGCTAGCTGCCTGTCGTCTGGAGTTTCAAGGCGGTAGGTGTCGCCTCTTACTTCCTCATAGATCCGGTAAGTTCCTTCCCAATTTGGAGTCAGTTTTCCCTGCTTATTGGCTCTACCAGTTGCCTCCATTTTCCGTAACATAAAGTCCCCCACTTTCAAGGGTCGTTTGTGTACTCTTTTGTTATAGGCTCAGGTCATTCTCAGACGGTAAATCTCATAACGCAAGCCAGCATTGCTCCTGCGTTCTGGGAGTGAGTCCAATGCTAGCCACATGGCCTCCCAGTTAGCCTCTTCGTCATAAAGCATGACTCGAAGAGTTGGCTCATAGTGCTAAATGGGCAAGACAGCTTCAGCACCAAAAACCATGAGAAATTGGGTTTCACCAGTCGCCCCTTTTTTAGTTGTTCTAATAGCCCATAGGACATGTGGAAACTCATCCGCCCATAAACCACAAGCTCTTTCAACTTTCTTTTTAATGCCATCTGAGATTAAATTGTTTAAGGCTTCAACCTGGCCGTTTGCTTGGGGACGACCGATTGATGCAAAGCAATGAGAGAACCCTTGGTCTCCTAACCAACTCTTGAGAGTAGGCGTCTCAAACTGAGGGTCATTGTCAAAGACCATAGACATAGGTACCCCAAACCGGGTGATAACATTTCTCCAGATGAAGGAGATAACATCTTTTGTCTTGATGCCTTTGACCGCCTCTGCTTCTACCCAATTTTGGTGAAGTAGTCAATAGCAACCAGGATATACCTCCGTCCGCTTGTAACAGGCGTATACGGACCCAGAATGTCCATGCCCCATTTGGAGAATGTTACTGGGCTGTGAATGGCCGTCAGATCAATGGCAGGACGGTGTATAAGTTTGCCAAATCTTTGACACTTATCACATTTCTTCACCATTTCTATGGCGTTTGCTTCAAGGGTGGGCCAAAAGTAGCCTTGCCGCCTAGCCCTCTTTGTTAGGGACCTTCCGCCTATGTGAGAGGCACAAAAGCCCGAGTGTAGGTCTTCTAGAATTTCTTGCCCCCTTTCAGGGGTGATGCATTTCAATAAAGGTCTCAGATAACCCTTCTTGAAAAGTTCTCCATTCACTAGTAGAAAAAATGAATTGCACAGCGCTCTTTTCGCACCGGTTCTTGAAAATCGGTGGGAAAAGAAATGGGCAGGATTGGGGAAAATACTTTTCCCACCGGTGGGAAATCATATTTTTCGCACCGGTTCAAACCGGTGCGAATTACGAAATATAAAAAAAAAAAAAAAAAACGGGCTGCTTTTCTTCTTTCTTTCTTTCTTTCTTCTGTACTTTTACTTTCCCTCTCGTATTCTCCTTCGTTCTCCATCCACAATCCCGAATTGCCCTAGCTTTCTCACTCCATTGAAGCAGCACCTCCGCCTCCATTGAATCGTGCTCTATATTCTCCATTGAAGCCGAATCTGAGCTTTCTCACCTCCATTGAAGTTGTTCCTGGTTTGCTTCGATTTCGCTTCCTTTTGGTTTTGATTTTGTTTTTTTTTTTTAGCTGTTCTTGATTTTAATCTTCTTTGCGATTGATGAATTGTTGGTTTATTTTGTTGTTGTTGTTTTAGGGTTGTCGAATCTGGTTGTGTTATTAATGTGTTATTGGATTGATTTTTAATGGATTTGCTCATGAATTTGTTCTATGTTTGAGTGATTTTTGCCAATTGAGGTTAATTGGAAGAAATTAAGGGTTTTCTAATTTCTCGAGGCTGTTAATTGGAAGAAATTAAGGGTTTTCCAATTAAGGGTTAATTGGAAGAATGTCATGCAATTCAATTTCGTCAGGTTTCTTTCAATTTATGTACATACATTATTGTTGTTAATATATAATTCGTGAACTCTTGTTATTGTATATGTTGAAATTTTTGAAATTTATTTTATTCCATTGAGTTAAATTTATCTGTATTAAGTAGAATATGATGGCATTGAGTTAGATTTAAAATTTATTTTGCGGAACTAAGTTAAATCTTGCTATAGTGAATAGAATATTGGTGTTTTCTGTATTGATTGAATTTTTTTTTCTACGTCAATTTGATTCTTTAGAAGTGGGAAATTGGTGTACAACTTATGGTATGAAAACGCAAAAAGATTGATTACTAATAGTCATTTCAATTGAAGATACTTATTTTTCGGTGTTTAGAGAGACATAAAGAGCAATGATATAAATCGAAATGATGACCGGATTACGGAATGCACATTGTGGATTTGTGGTACAATCTTATAAGTGTTGTGATATGTTTTGTTGATGATGTTATCAGGGAGATGATTTGTGTGTTAGCTGCTACTACATTGACAGTGAGCTCAATGCTTATGCCATATCTTCTGCTCAGGTCAACTGCTTAGCTTGCTTATCTATTTTTATACAACTATTGTACGAATACACAAAGGAAGTACGGAATTGTGTTGAGTACATTTGATAATTCGGTTCCATGGAAAGTCGAAAAACCTTTAAACTGTTGCCATGCTTCGGTGATTGTAAGTTGTAATTGCTCTGTGTAAATGGATCATTTGGTAAAAAAAAAAAAAAAAAAAAAAGTTGTTTGTATGAACTATTTTAATGTTAATTCGTTTTATGGAATGAGCGTTTTACTGTCAAGAGCTTTTATGATTTTTATTTGAGTTACAAAGAAATGAAAGGAAATCATATTGTTTTCTGTAGAATATGTTCACTTCTGAAGTTGGGGTTGGGAATTTAGGAATGCATTTGATAATTTTGGCAGAAAGATATATATTGTCTTTGTAGCATGCAAACAGCAACAAACATATTGAGCTAATCTGTTTCTCTCTTATTACTTGCAGCTCTATTCAAACACTCCTTCGGATTTTGATTTTAAGCTTGAAAGGTGTGTAGTTCTAACTTTTGTTTTATTTATCATCTTTCATGAGAATTTAGCGGTGATTCCATAAAATGAATTGTTTGTTTTTACTGTTGTTCTCAGCCTTGCTCAAGGTTTTCGCTGCTTGTCAGATTTTGTGGAACACCTTGCTGCTTCAATTGATATTGTGTTTCCTGTCATCCATGGTCCTTTTGGTGAAGATGGTACTCTTCAGGTATTGCTCTGGCTGACCCTCTAATACTTTGAGGACCAGTTCATTGTAAGCATTTAATATTACCGATGATATTTCTGATTCTGTGACCTTGACACTTATTTGTCTTCTACTATAAATTTTTAGGAGTTCATTTTCTGGGGTTAGTAATGAGTGTTAGGACTACGCTACTTTTTTTTTTTTTTTGGTGGGGGGGGGGGGGGGGGGGGGGGGGGGGGGGGGGGGGAGGGTATTGAGGCTCTAAAGGTCTATGTTGTTTAATCTGACTTTGAATGGATTGAACCAGGTTCTTGCTTTTCGGGATATCAATCCACAAGCTCCTGTACACATTTTGATCATTCCCAAAGTTAAGGACGGTTTAACCAGACTCGCTAAGGTACTTATGGTAGCATAGTTTTGCATTTCTGTGATGTTGTGTTCATATCCTTGCTTTTCTAGGTGTTTACATGAATGCTTCATTTCAATTAACTGAAAGTTCTGTTGGCTGGTTAATTTCTGTTTTTAGTGTGTCCCAACAACTTTGACATTTTATTTTGCTTGTGATGTCCTTGGGATTTAAGGGCTTGGGAGTTGGGACTTGATGCTTCCTTTTGATTAAAGGATTTGATATTGGGGTTCCATGTGTTTATGGCTAATTATATGCATTTATTTTTCCAGATTTAGTTATCCCTGGATCATTTTGGCATTAGTTATAGTCAGGCCAATTTTGTTGCAAAACTTTGAATAGAAGTTAAGTTGTATTGTGCACAAAAGTTGAATCAAGTGTTATAAGCTCATCCTCGAGAACAAGAACTAGGAATTAAGTGTAAGTGTTCTATAGGACTACTAATATATCAGAGTAATCGCATAGATCTGAATACTGCGCTTTTAAAAAGGATCATTTAAGATGCATGAGTTTTTTTTCTTTTCATTTCTTAAGCAATTAGTTAGAGAGTTTATTAACAATGCAGAACTGAAAAAGCTTAATACAGACCTCCAGAACAACAGAACCAAAAGCTTGCAGGCAGACAAAACCTGCTAAGCAACCACCTTACATCACTATCACTTCTCTAAGCTCATTTGAGCATCTACAAGAAACTTTCAACAAAATTTCATTCACAATAACATCAAAAGTTATAGCATTTACCATGAAATTTGCGGTATTATTATGAAGACATAACTGCTATATTGACTCAGTATATCATGTAATATACAGCTTTGATTGCGAGCTTTTCTTCCAGTTCAATATTACTGTTGTCTTCAACTCAGCATCAAAACCAGTAAAATAATCCCAAGAGCCAACACTTTTAAAGGACAGGTACTTGATTCTTTCAGGTTGATTCTTTCAGGATGATGTGCAGATTCACCTTTTTCTAACACACCCCAGGATCTCTTTTCTTGCTTTAAATTGTTGGCATTACAAGTAGTAGGATCCTGTGACCACTATTCTATCTGCCATGTATGCTCAGCTCTAGTGTTGATGGGTGTTCCTATTAAGGGTCACATTTCAGCTCTAATATCTGTATCTTGCCTAAATCGTTATATAATACTAGCATCAATGTATGGTATTATTCAGGATTGTTGAGTCTAGAGGCCTGTAATAGTTAACATTGAGCACTCACAAGTCACAAACCAGCCCGTATCTACATGAGTTAGAAATGAGTTTCAGATATTTACAAGATTTGGTAGCTAATGGCTCAACTTATAAAAATAGAGAATTTTTAGATTCTTTTGATTTATGCCTGATGTTTATTTGTATTGATACAATTAGATGTGCATTAACGAAATTATCATGCTGCAGTTAACTCTAGAGTTAGCTTGAATCCTTCCCCTACAATGGACATCAATGCTGCCATCGGCAATGAGGACACCAGCTTGGGTGGGGAAATGGCATTTGATACTACAAAGACAAACACCATTGCCACTAATGTCACTGTGCTCTGCTCTACATCAGTTTTGCATTCTTGCCGCCCTTGAAGTCCTGAGTTCTATTAGTTTTTGTATACTGTCAGACAACATATGTTAGTGTTTATATGTCCAAAAATATATATGTTAGTGTTTATATGTCCAATTTTTTTTAGTTTTTTAAAGTGTAATATTACAAGTTATTGATGAAAATATATGAGTTTTATGTATATTATGATTATATATAACTATTTGGTACAATTTAAGTGAAAAAAAATAAATAAATTTTAATTTTTTTGGGGCACTTTTGGCACCGGTTTTGGTAAAGAACTGGTGCTAAAAGTTTTTTTTAAAAATATTTTTGGAGACTTTTGGCACCGGTTCTAAGACAAAACCGGTGCGAAAAGTCCTTTTTCCTACCGGTTTTGAACCGATGCGAAATTTATGGGGTTTTAGCACCCCCCAAATACAACCCGGTTCAAAACCGGTGGGAAAGGGGGGTTTGAACCAGTGGGGAATTCGTTTTTTTCGCCTAGTGATTGTGAACTTCAAAGTTGGCCGCACGTTTTTTCACTGCAACCGCTTCTAGGTATGCATCCGGCAAAGTGTCGTCTGCTAGGTAAGCCCGGATGCCATCCATCCAGGTTGAGCTTCGGTCTTGTACTCCAATGGGATTTTCTTCAATACTTCTTTTCCCATAACTTCCCAAAAGACTAACCTAGGTGTATCACAGGAGGCAGATGATGCCAGCTTAGAGAGAGCATCCGCTTGATTGTTCTCTGACCTGGGCACTTGACTTAGATGAAATTTATCAAGTGTCCCATCCTCTTCTTTAACCGCCTGCAAATATTTGATCATGGCCGGATGGGTGGCCTCATAGTCACCATGGTACTTGCTAACGATCAATTGTGAATCAGAATAGGCGTCAACTTTTCTTGCCCTTGCCGCCTTGCACATGCGGATGCCGGCTAGTAGGGCTTCATATTCTGCCTCATTATTTGAGGCCTGGAACTTGAACCGTAGTGCATATTCATACTTATCTCCTTCAGGAGATTGACATATCAAGCCTGCACCACAATCGTTCATAGTAGAGCTCCCGTCCACAAATACTTTCCAAACCTAATCAAGCTTCTCTGGCTCAGCCGGCCTTGTCATTTTGAAAATGAAGTCGGCAAACGCCTATCCTTTCACTGCCTTCCTTGGTTCGAAAGAGAGTTCAAGGCTTTGAATTTCAATAGCCCATTTGATCATTCGGCCGAATGATTCCACGGTTGTCATTGGACGCTTGATAGGTTGGTCTGTGTAGACCACAACCGAGTGCGCCAAGAAGTAAGGTTTTAACTTCTTGAAAGCCATGAAGAAAGCAAGGCCAAACTTTTCAAGCATTGAGTACCTCAGTTCTACTTTTCGTAGAACATGGCTAATGAAATAGACCGGGAGTTGGGTGTCGTCTCTTTCAGCAAGGAGAACAGCACTGAGAGCGTGATTTGAGATGGCTAAGTACATGTAGAGGACTTCCTATGGCAGAGAACTAACAAGCCTCGGCAATGAGTGCAAGTGCTCTTTCAATTTTTGGAAGGCCGCCTCAGCTCCGTCCCCCATTCAAACATAGTCTTCTTTTTTATGGCTTGGAAGAAATAAAGGCACTTGTCGCCTGACCGGCTGAGGAATCTCCCAAGTGCCGCTAGACAACCTGTTAATTTTTGAACTTCCTTTACACTGCGAGGTAACTTCATGTCAATGACCGCCTGTATCTTTTCTAGGTTGGCCTCTATCCCCCTCTGATCAATCAGAAATCCAAGAAACTTCCTAGACTCAACACCAAAGACACATTTCTTGGGATTGAGCATGACCTTGTGCCGCCTGAGTGTGGCGAATGTTTCTCGGAGGTCAGCAAGGTGATCTGTCAGTAGTTTGGATTTGACTATCATATCATCGATGTACGCCTCTACATTCCATCCAATTTGATTAATGAAGACTGTATTAATTATTTGTTGGAAAGTAGCAGGCACATTCTTCAAACCAAACGGCATCACAGTACAATAGAATAACCCTTGATCAGTGACGAATGTCGTCTTCTCTTGATCTTTCTTTCACAAGGGTATATGATGAAAGCCTAAGTAGGCGTTCATAAAACTCATCAAGGCATGGTCGGCCGTAGAGTCGACCAAACTGTCGATCTTTGGAAGAGGATAACTATCCTTTGGACATGCCTTGTTCAAATCTGTGTAATCAACACACATGTGCCAGGTACCATTCGGCTTCTTGACCAACACAACATTTGCAACCCAATCTGGGAAGTAACATTGCCGAATGAACCCATCATCTAACTTTTTTACTTCGGCAGCTGTCGCTTGACTTCTTTCCTCACCATGGTTTCTTATCTTTTGCCTAACCGACTTCTTTTTGGGATCCACAGCAAGCTTCTGAACAGCTAGATCCGGGCTGATGCCTGACATCTCTTCTACTTCAAAGGCAATGATGTCTTTGAATTCCTTCAACAAATTGTGCAAGTCTGCACCCAAACTCGCAAAAGCAGCCGTCCCAACCTTAACAGTTCGCTCTGGACGAGTGTTCGTCCAGGGTAATATCAATGTGTTCACCAGCCGACTAGGGACAGAGTTCATCTGACCGTTCCCCGGTAAGTGATTGCTATTGCTTTTCTTTTTTCACAACCACCAATTGGTCGACCTTTCTCTTTTTTCCGGCCGCTATTAAAGCAGGCGCATCATCCTTGATTTCGTTAAGGTCTATTGGCACTTCACCTTGGCCGGATGCGGCCACAGTAGGCTTGACGTTTGATAGGTAGCACTCTCTAGCCGTCTTCTGATCTCCTTTTAGGGAGCCAACAAATCCATCCTCCTTCTCAAAATTAAAAAGCATAAGGGATGGAATGATAACGGCCTTGGATTCATTCAGAGTAGGGTGGCCCAATATCAAATTGTAGGTGGTCAACTCTTCAACAACCAAAAACCGGACTACCATGTGGCGTCCTTTTCCCTTTTCCCCCAGCCAGATGGGTAGGTGATTCGTCCTAACGGATGCACAACTCCACCCCCAAAACCAACTAAGGGATGAGATACTTTATGCATACTGCTGGGCTTGTACTTGAGCTTTGTCAAGCCCTTGTTGCTGATGAGATCAGCCGAACTTCCAGTGTCAATGAGGATCCAGCCTACCTTCTGGTTGGACACTTTGCATTCAATGACTATGGGGTCATCATACAGTCGTCTGACCTTGCCCCTGTCTTTTTCAGTGATGACAACTTCAGGGAAGGTGTCCTTAGACGCCTGCCCCTCGTCCACTGAGCTGACATCCAGCCACCTGATGTAGTCCTTGGTGCCCTGAATGGTTGGGCCTCCTCCAGCAAAGCCGCCTACTATTGTATAGATCGGTTCTTCATCAGTGTCCGAACTATTAGGAGGTTGTGACTTCTTTTTGGACGGCTGCCCATGGTTAGTTTGCAGGGTAACCTTAGACTTCAGAATATACGACTTGAGCACCTCTTTATCAGCCAGTCGGTCCAACAGCCGCTTGAGACTATAGCAGTCGTTGGTGTCATGGCCAATGTCCTCATGGAAGTGGCGATACTTATTTTTGTTCTGATTTTTGGTAGAACCTTTCATAACAGCCGCCTTCTCAATGGTCACCCGGTCTTTAATCTCCATGAGGATGGAGTAGCAGTCCTTATTAAACTCATACTTTGGGACGTACGATTTCTTTCTTTTTCTTCTGGGACGACTGTTTAGAGTCATCAACCGCCCAGACTTCTTTTATCTTTTTCTCTTTTTTGGTCGGCTGAGCTGGCAGACTCTCTCTTTAGTCAAACTGCTTTGAGTCCGACTGCTTACTGATGTTGCAGAGTTCGGTCGCCTGTATATAGGCGTCCGCCTCCATCAGAGCTTCTTGGAGAGTAGCAACGCTCTTTCTGACGAGGTCAAACTTAAAGGTCGACCCGTCCTACAGACCTTTGAAGAAGTCTGTATAGGCCACTTCATCAGACAGACCTTGAATTTGAATTCTCATCAGATTGAACCACCTGACATAGGACCTTAGCCGTTTTCTATCCCCCTGATGTATTGCACCCAAGTCAAGACTTGTTTTCTTAGCAAGAATATTCATAGAGAAGTTTGAGGCAAACAAGTAAGCAAGCGTCTTGAAGCTGTTGATGCATCCGGCAGGCAGGTTGCCAAACCATCGTTGGGAGACGCCCTTTAATGTGGCCGGAAAACATCACACCAGGCGGCATCATCCAACCTCGGTAAGTACATGAGGTTGGTGTAAGCCATTAGTCGATCTTCTGTGTGTGTGGTACCATCATAAGTGCCTACTAGAACGTTTTTAACCTGGCCGGCTGTGCCGCCTCGATTATTTCGTTGGAGTACGCAGAAGGTTGTTCCCCAAGTTTTAGCTGACGGAGCTGCCAGTCCAATGGTTGGACATTCTGTGCCGTCTGACCCCCAAAGAGAGTCAGCTGCATGTATGGTTGACCATACGGCATGTATGGCTGTTGAGGCACATACGGAGCCGAATGGATTATCTGAGGGCCAGTGTGGACGGACAAGCCACCTGACTAAGACACGAATAGTTTCGAGAAAGAAACAAATGATTTCGAGCTAGGAAGGTATGACGATCGTATGAATAATTTCAAGGAAGATACATAAGATATTGATGAAAATAACACGAAGGAGGCCGGACTATGATGGACAAAAGGAACTTAATTAGGCCAGAATCACGAACATCATCAAGCAAGTCCTCACAACTTTGTACCACAAAATCAAAAACAGAATCCCAAGCATTAATATCAACGTCAATATCCTTTACGCAATTCATGACGACATCTTGCCATTCCCAATAAGGGGACTCTCTCTTGAACTCTAAATTCACATTTATTGTTTTCACGTTAACTTCATTAAGGCCGTCTTCCTGGTACGATAGGTAGACGGTAAAGAGATCATCAACTGGCTTCTGGTCATCATCATTACTAGTAGTATTGTTTGGCTCCATCACCCAAGATGTAACTTCTACCCCTCGTATTGTTAATGATGTTAAACACCCCATGTTATGCATTATTAAGGTTAAAGGCTTTTTGATATTATTATTACTTCAACATTCATAATCGTACATAATAATTATATATAGAAAATATTTAAGTGGCTGACTTGCCCACCAAGCATGCACTTCATTACCCACACGGCTATGCCTGATTTTTATTTAAAATATCTAAATTATCTTATTGGAAATAAGCACTGTCATTTTCTTGAACTAGTGTACAAATCTTCCAAGGATTCCAAGTTTTACTTATCTATTTTTTTTTATTATTATTATTTTATTATTACTATTAAATTAAAAAAGTTACTATAAAAAAATTTATTTGTATAAGAATGAGAATAAATAAGGGAGTGAATATTATTAGTAAAATAAAATTTTAATTTTAGTCTTGATTCTTTTTAATTAACTTCGTAAATCATTATATCATTCATACAAGTATATCATTATACTCCATATTAATCATTTTTAAAAAAAATAAAATAAAAAATAAAAAAACATTATCTAGCTAATATTGGTCGTGTTTGATAATTACTTAATTAGCTAATGTGATGTAAAAAAACAGGTATATATTTAACAGCCTACAACTTAGTAAGTAAGTATAATATTGCAACTCAATAATTAATTATAATTACCCCGAGTTTGATTCATTTGGGTGTGCTATTTGAAATAAAATAAAATAAAAAATCACACATTAGCTATAGACTGTAGTCCCTAAACAACATTAAACAAGTCTTGTGTACAACGGTGTATATTAATTTTATTGTAAAATGGTCAGTTTGAACGTAACTATAACTATTTTTATGGTAACTTTAACCACTTAAAGGGCAGCTTTGAAGTTTTCGTTGGTTTGATTTTTATTTCATTGTGTAATTTTTTGTAGATACTTGATTATATAATATAAAGACTAATATGATTAATTTAACACATTATAAGTTTTTTGTAAGATAAAATTTATTAATAGAAAAATAATAACTTCTGCAGTATAAAGGGTAACTTTAAGTACTTTTAACATAACTTTAACCCGCTTTACAATAAATTAACGTATACCAGCCTTTTTGGAGAATTTGTGAATGACATTATATTATAGCTATTTTCACTATCTATATCTTATTACACTCATCTTATCAGCCGACTATCTTTATTTTTCTTACAGCTAATTTTGAAAATATTTTTTTTTGTTTTTACAGCTATGAATAAGGAGATAAACAAAATCAGAGAGATATACAAAAAATCTATATAGAATTCCAATTAATATTTGGAAAGATATAATAATAGACATAATTTAGGAAATTCCTTGCGTATAAAGAAAAGTTCTTTTTTAAGGGTTTGTTTTGAGCATTTTATATTAGGTTAGATATACAAATTACACATGAAATTTTCTGAAAAGTGAAAACACCACAAATTAAATAGTTGTTACTTTAATATTTCCATGACCACCCAAACCAGGCCATGAATTCCTCCTTATTGTATTCAAGGTCAATATCTGAATATGATGTGTTATCTTGGGCAGTTGATGATGAGTCTACTTCAACCTCAACCTGAACCTCAAACCTGAACCACCCACTCGACGACTTCTTTACAAACCAAATATGTTACCATGATAGTCGTATCCCTAACGGAGAAAGAAGTATTACGCGTGTGTTAGATAGAAGTACTGATTTCGAAGATGAGCTTACGGAATGGGAAGTTAAGGAGTGGCTTGGAGAACTTTATGAGGATGAATATGGTGATGAATGTGTTTATGAAGCGATAGAACAAAGTTGTGAGGAACTTGTATAAGATGTTGAAGCTAAAACGCGTGCATTGATTGTCAAGATAGTCAAGGTGGCTGAGACTATGGATATGGATATCGAGGAAGTTGCTAATAATACTAATTTCAAGGAATATTCGAATGAGGATAATGAGCTTAGGATGGAAGTGAAGAGTTTCCTACGAAAAATGGAGATCTTAAGGCCTATGAATAATGAATCAAGTAAAGAATCGAGGGGTTTCTCTCAGGGTTGTTCGATTTGCTTGGAGGAGTTTGATAAGTCGGGTGATGGTTGTGAACAAGATGGCGCGTTTTTTCCTTGTTCTCATGTTTTTCATGGGGAGTGTATGGTTTCATGGATTCTTGAGGGGAAGAACACATGTCCGGTGTGCCGATATAAGTTTATTCCTTGTTATTTCATCTTTGATGAAAATTAAGTTGTACTACGCCTCCTTGTATATAAGGGTGGTGCTATTGAATTGATGTATAGAAGAAAAAGTTCCAAGTTATTACTGAATATATATATGTTGTTGTATCGATCTATTCTTTCACAAAATTTAAAATAGCTAGCTCTAATTCTTTTTAACCATAATGTTTTAGGATTTTTATAACTTCTTGACAATAATAATAATAATTCATCAATGATATATGGTTGTTGTTTCGGGTGTTTTTAGTCCCTCGGGAGAGTTACAATACTGGGTATGAGCGCCTGACTTCTGTACTAGCAAAACCATGAAACTCCGGTTGGGTGGAGTTCCGCCTCCGAAGATCAAGTTAGTATGATTCCGGATGGGTAAACGGACGAAAAGTAAATGGGTATTTCTCACTGATTCAGGAAGATTCCACAATTAATATTGCTCGGGTTTTTTTGCTTGTATTTATAAATGCCAATAAATGAGGATGATTCCTCTATTTATAGCAGATGAGAATCTGCTCCCCCATTGGGGGTTCAATGCCACGTGGCATCCTCTCATTAGATCCCTCGGGGCCTGTATGAGGGTGACATGTGTCAGGCCCTCATTGGGCCACGTGGCAGGGGTAATTTTTACCCCGAACCTACCCTGAGTCCGACCGAACCTACCCAGAGTTCGGTCGGACCTTTTCCCGTTTCAGCTGACTTTTTGCGGAGCTTCCTAAGCAATTTTGTAAGGGGTATAAATAGATTTTTTTGCTCATTAAAGAGAAAGATTTTTTTTCAGTTTAGAATAGATTTTAGGTTAGTTTTAGGTTTTAGAGAGAGAAACTCTCAAAATTTTAGAGAGAGAAAGTGAGGAGCACAATGGTTTTCATGGATTTTGGATAATCAAATGAGGAATTTGAAGATCTCCACCTTATATCAATGAGCATTTCTTACTTTCTCTTCTCTTATTGCTTTATTTAGTTGCTTTCATTATGCTTGAGTAGTTTCCCTTCTACTAGGTGTTGAGTGAGGCTTTGTAATGATTATTTGAGTTATTTGAGATAAATTTGATGATAATTGTGTGATTAAATTGATTGAATTGATGTTGGCATGTTGTTTGTTTTTAGATTGGATTGATCTCCCATGATAGCACACTTAATTGCATATTGGTTTTAGTTTGACAAGGGATTGTGAATTAGAATTGATATATTTGATTACATTTTGGGTAATTTTCTTCTATGCACCTAGTCAATGAGGGATCTAGGCTAGGAATTTGAGAGATTACTTTTGAGTGTAGTTAATTCTCATTATAATTCTTTATTTGCATGATTGATTATCAAATGGATTCTCATTAGCTTATTAATTGTTCTAAGTGGATCTTTTTCCCTAGTAGACTTTATCATACCTTGTTCTTTATATGTGTTTTAGTGTAGTTGTAGTGTCCTTTATCCGTAAATCAACTTCGGCATAGCTTAGGCATTAGATTAAGAACAATCTAGCATTACCGTTCCTTGTGGTTCGACTCCGAACTTACCACTAGACTTGTTTAGGGGTTAGTTTTAGGATTTATAAATTTATTTGATTGAGTGTGGAATGTGCGACCGTTCTAACGCCCGTCAAAATGGCGCCGTTGCCGGGGAACGATGTCAATGCTTGATTGTTTTTGATTGCTTGAGTCTAGGTCTTTGTGTATACTTTTTTTTATTTGTTTATTTATTTTTTGTTTGTTTGATTGTTTTTGTTAAAAAAAATTAAAAAATGGCATGTTTCTCATTTCCTCAATATGATAATGAGCCTTTTTGTGATTATTTCAATAGACTTGAGGGACTTGTAGATCGTAATTGTTATAGTCTTTGGGAGGCTTCTGAGATTTGTTATTTTGTTTTGAATAAGAAAACTAGGGATATTGTTGAAAGCATGTATAATGGTGAATTTAAAGCATTATCAACTGATGATGCTTGGGATTTTTATGTATGGTTTGCTAGGGATGTTTACAATAAGGGTAATCATGTTTCTAATATTGATGTGCAATGTGTCGATTCTTCTAATGTTAGCATGCATTCCCATGATTTGTCACATGATCTCATTAGTGAACCTAGAACAAATGATTTCAACTCTATTTCCCCTATTGTTCATGATGATGAGGTGCATTCCAATGTTGATGAGCATGGTGTGTTTCATTATTCTTCATTATTTAGCATGCCTTCTTGTGATGTACCTTTTTCTCCCAATAATGAATCTTATATGCTTGATTGTGCCCCCTCTCCCCGTGATGATGATTATACTCATCCTTCTAAAGTTGATGCTTACAATCTTGGTTGTGATCCTTTTCCCCTTGTTAACCTTCAATTTTCTTCATCATGTGAGTGTCCGATTGATTATTTAGAATCCCTTATTAGGTGTGTTGAGCTTGATTCTACTTTTGGGCCAAGTAAGGAGTTGTTTTTAAATTCTATGAGAAGTCAATTGGAGATGATGAATAGGAGTGAAGAGCGTATTGAGGAGGTAATAAGGAGAAAGGAAGAGCTAGAAAGCCAATTGTCATCTTTGTTGCATGATATTGAATCTTTCAAATCCCATGTGTGTATTGAAGATGATGATGATGATGTTTTTGTGCAATCAAAAGATTGTGAGGAAGACAACAATGAGCTTTTGAGTGAAGGAAAGAGAGTTGAGAGTGAATTAAATGATGATTTTATGAATCAAAACCCTCTTTCTTATTTTGACCAAGTGCATGTTTGTGATTCCTCTATTCATGAGTATTTGGACTCATTTGAGATTATGTCCCATTTATTTTGTGAGGTTCAAATGAAAAATAATGACATTTTGAGTGAGTTCATTGAGAATGCTTCATGGGAAAGAGATGAATTTGAGATGAATTTGCATCCATTCATGCATGGTTTTGAGATCTTAGGCTTTCAGATTTCTAAGGGAAATGTTGTTTATCGTCGTGATAGGGAATTGGAAGATGAGGTTGTTTCTCTTGGAGATTGGTTGTTTGAGGGAGATGTAGATCACGAGTGTTCTTCTTTTGAGAATTCAATGATTAACTTTCATTCCCTTATTAGTGACGAGAGGAAAGGTGGTGAAAATGAGATCATTTGTGAGACCATTTCTCCTATCCCCCCACGTCATCATATTCCATTTTCAAGAAAATTTGATCATGTTCCCTCCTATCCCATGACACTCCCTTCTTTTCTCAAAGAGCCTATTGGGGACCCTCTTTCTATTTGTGTTCTTCAAGCTCCCCACTCATCGATTATTGAGGAAAAGGGTGATTTTTCCACCAAAAAACATTTTAAGGAGAGTTTGCCTTCCTTTTCTTTTTCTTCTTCTTCTTCTTCTTCTTTTGTTGAATTTTCTTTTGATTCTTCTTCTTCTTTTTCTTGGCATCTCTCTCCTCATTTGCGTGCACTATCCTTGTTGCACGTTATCTTCCCGTCATTTTCCTACCTTCTTTCTTATGAAATGTGTAGTAGTGCATTTGATAAGCTCTTACGATCCTTGCAATATTATTTACTAGAGCAGTCAAGCTTGGACCTTAAGCAAGCCTTTCTCAGGAAGTAACCCGTGTTTATTGCTTTCATTTTTTTTATTTTTAGAATAGTTTTCGGCCTCATGGAAATGTTTGTGTGCTTGGTGCTAGGTACATAACTTAATATACTCTTATGCATTGGTTTGGATCAAGAATCAAGGAAGTTTGACTCCACTTTTGCTAGCACATGGAAAACAAGATTCAATTTTAGAGGTAGTCGGCTCCAAGAAGGTTTAATTGGGTCATTTGCGGGTACTATACCCACCTAATATCCGGTAATATCCTTCCTTGCTCTTCCTCTAATGATTTGTGACTTGTTGGACATATGTTGGTTGGTTGGATGACTTTCTTTCTTTTCTCCTCCCATAGATTCTTTGGTTTAAAGTTTGAGCATGTTGCCTCATTCAAGCTTGGGGGAGGGTATTCTATCATGTTTGGTGGAATTTTGATTCATATATGCCATGCAAATTTGTATATGCATTTCCATTTTCTTTATTTTGAAAATTCCAAAAAGATTTTGTTTCTATCAAGGCAAATTTGCAATGTGTTTTGTTTTGTTCTTACTTTTGACATAATACGCTTGGACTTGTATTCTTGAATGTCTTTATTCCTAAATTATAAAGGTATGCACGGTTTGAGAATGTGTTAGGTTGACTCTAGGATATGATATGCTAAGGTAGTTGTTAAGAACTTTGAGACCATGAAGCCCTAGTTCACTTGCTTGTGGTAAGATGGAGTTGCTCTCTATGGTGGATATGAAATCAAGAGTTAGTTATTGCTATCCCTAGTGAGGTAAATTGTTCAAGCCTTCATCATACTTTGTTGAGCGGCATATTTGGATCCTTGGCTATTGCATTCTCGTATCTAGAACTTGACTTTTAGCTCCCAAGATCGCGACTGTGCCACTTTAGGGGATGACAAAGGAATTTCTCTTTTTATAGGATAGATTTTCTATTTTTGAGTTTAGTTTATATTTGCCCCTCTTGCTAGCCCTTTTGATCCATATACATTCTTTTCTCTAGCCACAATACAAGCCTTGAAGCCTTGGTTTCACTTTCTACCTTTAGTTTTGTGAAGCAATTTAGTTTTCGAGCTTGTTTTATTGTTTATGGTGCAAGTTTAGAATTATGAGTTTATTTGCAAAGCAAGTATGTGTTGTATATAAGTTTGTGCATAAAAGCAAATGCATTTTGAGAAAAAGTCGTCCAAAGTTAAAGAGGCAAGGACTTTTAAATGAAAAAAAAAAATGTCGAAAAAAAAGGTAAAAGAAGAATGAAAAGCACAAAATGATTTTTTTATAGTTGTTTTTTTTTCCCCTATTTTTGTTAGTTTGTTTTAAATAAGCTTGGGGAAAATTTATTTTATGAGCATAGTTGGTACTTTTGTTTTGGATTCGTTTGGATCTTGTGGAAAAAGTTCCACCCGAGCTTCACATGTAGGTTTACCACCAATTTCAAAAGTTTTCCACTCCTTTACTCTCCTAGCCTGTGTATTACAACCTTGAAAGTCCTTTTGATCCTAGAGGGTTAAGTCATTTAGTGGTGGCAGGAAATAGGAATCAAGCCTATAGAGCGAGTTTGCATAGCCAAGATGTTGGGTAACCTTCTCATGTTTTGAATTTCTTACTTATTTTCCGGTTCCTTCGTGGAATCATGAGAAGCTAAATTGAAAGTGGATTTGAAACTTGTAGAGAGGTTGTGGTTTGATTAGTTGGAACAAAAGGTGGAATATGTTTCCGTTAGTTCTCTATGCTTAGCATATGCTATGTTTCAATCAACCTTGGACACCTTAGAACGTGCATACCTTTATTTTTTTTTTAGAAAGATTGACATTCTTTAGTGCTTGTTCCATTGTAAAAATCCACTTAAGAACGCTTGTAACCTCTCTTTTACTTCAATTTATTTTATCTATTTGTTTATTGCTTTGCCTTGATTTTTGTCAAGAGTTATGGGTTAAACTCTTAGGATACCCTTACGAGAGCATACTCGTCCTCTAGAGCGATCTATGGGGTTTAAAGTGCTTGATGCATGCGCTAAATGCATTCGTGATTCCTACGAAAGTGAGTTAGTGTATATTATTTCTCTTCTAGTTTTATTTTATTTTATTGTTTTTTTTAAAAAAAAAATAAAAAAAAATAAAAAATACATCGTTTTCCGTTGTGTTTGTTTTGTTTTGCTCGAGGATGAGCAAAAGTTAAGCTTGGGGGTGTTTGATGAGTGACATTTATGTTACCCTTAGGGGTAGTGTATTGGTCTCTTTTCTCCTGTTTTTCTTAGGTTTTTCTACCTCTTTTCTCCTCTTATGGCTTCCTTTTTTTTTATGGATGAAAAGTATGCTTATTTGCGCTTGTTTTGATAATCTTTATGCATAATTTTATCATCCCCATGCTCTCGTGATCTTTGCTATCTTTTGCAGGTTCCATGGCGGTCCTAAGCACGGTAGGAGGCCCCTTGGCCAAGTATGGAGGCATGGACAAAGACAAGAGGAGCAAAAGGGAAGGAGAGGAAGCAAGAAGAGGAAGTTCAAGAGGAGGTGTGGCCGAACCTCTAAGAGGTTCGGTCGAACCAAGGTGTGGTCAAACTTTTGAAAAGTTCGACCGAACCTCCAAGGCAGTTTCAACCAAGTTTTCAGCATGTTTACATGAGGGGTCGAACCAGGAAAGTTCGACCAAACAAGGATCAGGGAGGTTCGACCGCACCTACCCTGAGTTCGGCCGAACCTACCCTGAGTCTGACCGAACCTACCCAGAGTTCGGTCGGACCTTTTCCCGTTTCAGCTGACTTTTTGCGGAACTTCCTAAGCAATTTTGTAAGGGGTATAAATAGATTTTTTTTGCTCATTAAAGAGAAAGATTTTTTTTCAGTTTAGAATAGATTTTAGGTTAGTTTTAGGTTTTAGAGAGAGAAACTCTCAAAATTTTAGAGAGAGAAAGTGAGGAGCACAATGGTTTTCATGGATTTTGGATAATCAAATGAGGAATTTGAAGATCTCCACCTTATATCAATGAGCATTTCTTACTTTCTCTTCTCTTATTGCTTTATTTAGTTGCTTTCATTATGCTTGAGTAGTTTCCCTTCTACTAGGTGTTGAGTGAGGCTTTGTAATGATTATTTGAGTTATTTGAGATAAATTTGATGATAATTGTGTGATTAAATTGATTGAATTGATGTTGGAATGTTGTTTGTTTTAGATTAGATTGATCTCCCATGATAGCACACTTAATTGCATATTGGTTTTAGTTTGACAAGGGATTGTGAATTAGAATTGATATATTTGATTGCATTTTGGGTAATTTTCTTCTATGCACCTAGTCAATGAGGGATCTAGGCTAGGAATTTGAGAGATTACTTTTGAGTGTAGTTAATTCTCATTATAATTCTTTCTTTGCATGATTGATTATCAAATGGATTCTCATTAGCTTATTAATTGTTCTAAGTGGATCTTTTCCCCTAGTAGACTTTATCATACCTTGTTCTTTATATGTGTTTTAGTGTAGTTGTAGTGTCCTTTATCCGTAAATCGACTTCGGCATAGCTTAGGCATTAGATTAAGAACAATCTAGCATTACCGTTCCTTGTGGTTCGACTCCGAACTTACCACTAGACTTGTTTAGGGGTTAGTTTTAGGATTTATAAATTTATTTGATTGAGTGTGGAATGTGCGACCGTTCTAACGCCCGTCAAGGGGAAACCTCTGAAGAATTGCTGCCTGACTTTAATCAGGCTGAGATGACAATGGGATCTCCGCGTGGCACTGCAAGCACTCCCAGTGATGGAATATTGGGGTTGGGTCAGGAAGGCGGTGAAGATCCCGCCTCTCCCTCCCGGGTTGAACAAGAAAACCCTTCAGAGAACGCGAGTGGTGAAGAGACCGCCTCCTCATCCGGTTCAGAGCAAAGTGGCAGTAGCAGCAGCCTTCTTACATCAGATGCGGATATCGAGGAGGAGGAGAGGCCCACATGGAACAATAAGGGCGACCCTTTCCTTATCGCCGTCTCTACAAGAGATAAGGCCAGCATGGCCAGAAACTTAGAGGACTTTGTCAAAATATGTCCTCTTGGAGAAGATTAGAGAATAATCGTGCCGCTTGAGATGGGCACTATAGTCTGGGAAGATGATCAGCCAAATTCAAACTGGTCTTTTGGCTGTTTAGAGGCGGCGTTTCTAGCCGGTCTCTGCTTCCCTTTGCATAACACCATAAAGGCCATTCTTCGAGGGTATGGTCTGGGTATTTAGCAGTTAACCCCTAATTCATGGGTTAACATCTTAGGTTATATCTCCGCCTGCGAGATGCAGAACATCAACCCCGTCTGGGAGGCCTTTTCCCACATGCACTATCTGAGTAGAAGCCTAGGCGGGTGGAGAGCCTGGTATACATTGACCACCTACCCTCAATACCTAATGACCCAAGACAAACCGTCCAAGTGGTCGGACTGGAAGAATAGGTTCTATCTGGTTTCTGCTCCCACCAAGGAGGAAAACCGGGAATATAGGATATACAACCGGAAGCCAGACCTCCTGGGGCACAAATGCAAAAAGCCTCGAGTCCTGGATGAGGACTACGAGGGGATAATTGAGGCGAGGTTTTTTGAACAAACCACAACCACCCTCTCTAATGGAGAGTTAATAAGCGTGCCCAAGAATTGGGTACCAAAGCACATATTCCTTTGTGATGAGGCATTTTTGTCCGCCTGTAAACTTAGCACTCAGTTTGAAAAACCTAGGTTGCACTAGTGCTTGATCCTGTTTTTCCATTTGTACATGATGTGCTTTCAACTCTCTTCTAACCGGATGGGTTCCTTTTGCAGTGCGAGCCTTAGCCATGTTGTCAGCAGAAAAAACACCGGCTAAATCTGCCAAAGAAATCCGCAAAGAAAATGCGGAGAAGAAACTTGCCGCCCAGGCGGCAAAAAATAAGGTATACTGCTTTCCTTTCTTTTTCCTTTAACTTCCGTTTGACTTCTTCCCGGTCGCGCTTTTGCGCGTTTGTTTCAGGATGGGAGCAAGGTGCCCCGCTCCCTTACAAAGCTAATAAGGACCAGGCCGGGGGAGGAGCCGGCCACTCAAAATAAGGGGAGGAAGAGTTCCTCCCAGACAGTACCCAGTCGGCTGACGGTTAGGGGTAAAATTGTCAAAAACACAGGCCTGGGGTTCGATCTTACCTCCAGGCAGCCGGATGTCCCAGAGGCATCAAAGGAGACAGCGCCGCCTAAGGCATCCGACGCCTCTGTGCCGGCTGAGGGCAGTCGTGGCCCTCATCCAATATCCCAAGGTACTAATGATCCTTTCAACCCTTCTTTGCTTGGCAAGCCCATGCAGGTCAAGTTACACTCCCAGCTCCAGCCAGAAGACTCTTCTGGCAGCCGGCATTCAATAGGAGGGAAGTATGCTGCCTTCTCACCATCTTTTTCTGGTGCAGATCACTCCCCTCGCTGGCTGGATGTACATCAGTACGCCCGGGCCATGCTGAAGGCCATCCCTAGAGAGGAGAAGGAAGCAATCCCAGGGATCAACACCTTCAATGCCGACCAGGTCATGGCCGGCCTGGCTGAGGTATATGCTCTTCCAACTGTTTAAGTTATTATGCCGTCTGACCCCTTCTAACACCGCTTGGGCTTTTGCAGTCAATGCTTCGTGTGGAAGGGCTCAAGAAAGCTTACGCCCGCAAGCAAGAGGAGGTAAAACAAGCTAAACGAGATGCGTCCAATGCTCATAACGTTGCCCAATATTCCATGATTATGCATAAATTGAAAACTAAAGGCATAATCATGCACCACGCGGACTCCATCAAGACGCTCCAGAAGTCTCTCAATGAAGCCAACACAAAGCTCCACAATCTCCAGGCGAAGAAAGAGAATGATGAGGCGGAGGTGAAGAGGGCGTCGGATTCTCTCAAAATCCTGGAACTAACCAGGAAGGAGAATTCTTCGCTGCTGACTGAAAATGTCCGCCTGAAGAAGGAGGCGACCTCAGCCAGTCCGAACTTCCAAACCACGCTGGAAGCATAACAGAGCCGGCTCATTGAAGAGAATGAGCAAGACTGCGCCAATCAAATGCAATTGGCTTGGTCCCTGGTGCATCCGGAAACGGAATATGCCATCTGGGAACTTGCATACAAATACGCTGATCTTGCCATTGAGGCGCAGGAGTCGAACCAGCCGGCTCCGGAGCCTTATGAGGAGTGGGCCAAGAAGCAGATCGATGCCATGCAGGCGGAGATCGACACAGACGGAGGAGAGGAGCATGGTGAGAATCAAGAGATTGTCCCTCCTGCTTCGGAGACCGCCCCTAAGAACCCGGCTCAGTCTTAAGATTTTATGTCTTAAACTTTTTTCCGGCCTGCGCGCCGCGTATTTCATGTATCAATTTCACCGGACAGGGGTCCGGCTAACATTTGAACAAATTTATTTTTTATATACATATACCGACCGAGTCGGTTTGCTTTGTCATTTCAATTCAATTCTTTTCAATTTCTGCAACTTTTGAATTTTTGCAATATTGTTTTGCCTGCTCTTGCGATATGGCGAATATATTAGCTATGTCTGCCCCTGGATGGTTGGTTGCTTAATTAAGTCTAAGAAAGCAGCCATCCATAGTTATCCGGACCGGACGTATGCTCTTCAAACCTTGGTTAAGTATGAGGCAAGGGCTGACCTTGTAAGCCGGTTGCACACTGAAGTGCAACTTGCCGCCTATATTGCCATGGGGCAATAGCAAGGCGGATTCTGGGGGTCAACAGGGTCTGACCTTCCGCATGGACCATTGGGCCGGCTGGGGTGCTTTTGGGCAAAGGTCGGCTGCTATTCAAGGTTGAAACTACTGTCTGCTCTGCATTAGGGCAATAACTGGTGGCGACCTAAGATGCTACTTTCTGGCTTTATTGCCTTGGGGCAATAGCCGGTTGTAGTATGACAAAATTTACTGGTTGTATTGCCTTGGGGAAATGGTCGGTTACAATTTTTAAGATGATTTTGAAGTTAATTAGGGTTGAACTTCAGGATAGAAGTGGAGGCCGGCTGTAGTGCTTCTGGGCAAAGCCGACTGTTTTAGCAAGATTTAATACACCGTCTGTATTGCCTTGGGGCAATAGCCGGGTATATCTTATTTGCGATAGGTTATTCGAACAGACATGGGCTATCTTTAACCTAACCGGTTAAAACCGTTTGAGTTCATGACGCATAGAACAATGTACCACCCAGAAGAGAGATGTTCTCTTCGACGAATTCACCCGGATGGGCGTCGCCGGATGACTGCTTAGGGTTAAAGCAGGTGGTTTAAAATATGTTGGCTATGGGCCTTTAAATAGCTAAGTTAGGTACTTAGCTTCATATTTTCAGCAAACGGGTGCCCGGTTGTGCATTGCACTTGGGACTTAGACGGTGCCCGGTTGTGGATTGCACATGGGACTTTATACAAAAACAAAACTGAAATAAAGTATTCTTTTCATTGATATACTCTATTTACAAAAATATTTACAATATCCTTAGAAGTAGTACTTTTTCAAGTTATCTACATTCCAGGTTCTGGCTAACTGTCTGTCGTCTGGTGTTTCCAGGCGGTAGGTGTCGCCTCTTACTTCTTCAAAAATCCAGTAGGGGCCTTCCCAATTGGGGGTTAGCTTTCCTTGTTCATTTTTCCTACCGGTTGCCTCCATTTTTCGTAACACAAAGTCCCCCACTTTCAGGGGCCGCTTGTGTACTCTTTTGTTGTAAGCCCTCGTCATTCTCAAACGGTATTGCCCCTGCGTTCCGGGAGTGAATCCAATGCAAGACGCATGGCCTCCCAATTAGCCTCTTCGTCATAGAGAATGACTCGGAGTGTTTGCTCATAAAGTTCAATAGGCAAGACGGCTTCAGTGCCATATGTCATGAGAAACGGGGTTTCACTGGTTGCCCCCTTTTCTGTTGTCTTGATGGCCCAAAGGACGTGAGGTAACTCATCCGCCCAAAGACCACCGGCTCTTTCCATCTTCTTTTTTATGCCGTCTGAGATGAGCTTGTTAAAGGCTTCAACTTGACCGTTTTCCTGGGGTCGGCCAACAGATGCAAAGCAATGCGAGATCCCTTGATCTCCTAACCAATCCTTGAGGGTAGACGTCTCAAACTGAGGACCGTTGTCAAAAACCATGGACATTGGAACCCCAAACCGGGTGATGATGTTTCTCCAAATGAAGGAGATGACGTCCTTTGTCTTGACGCCTTTGACCGCCTCGGCCTCGACCCATTTAGTGAAGTAGTCTACAGCCACCAGAATATATCTTATGCCACCTGTGGTAAGCGTATAAGGACCTAAGATGTCCATGCCCCATTTTACAAATGGAACCAGGCTGTAGATAGCCGTCAGGTCTGTTGCCGGACGATGTATGAGTCGGCCAAACCTTTAGCACTTGTCACATTTCTTCACCAATTCCATGGCGTCTGCCTCAAGGGTGGGCCAAAAGTAAACTTGCCGCCTGGCCATCTTTGCTAGAGTCCTGCCGCCTATATGTGATGCACAGAAGCCCGCATGCAGGTCCTCTAGCACCTCTTTTCCCCTTTCTGGGGTAACACACTTCAGCAACGGCTGGAGGTAACCCTTTCTGAAGAGTTCTCCCTTGTACATTTCAAAGCTCAAAGCTCGTTTTTTAAGTGCAGCCTCTTCTGAAAAGGCATCCGACAAAGTGTCGTCTACCAAATAATCCCAGATGGGGTCCATCCAGGTAGAGCTTCGGTCAAGAATTCCGATGGGGTCATGTTCAATACTTCTTTTTCCATGACCTTCAGAAGACTGACCCAGGCGTATCACAAGTGGCGGATGAGGCCAATTTGGACAGAGCATCCGCCTGATTATTTTCTAATCGGGGCACCTGACTTAAATGGAATTCATCAACTGTCCCCGCCTCATCTTTTACCGCCTGAAGATATTTGATCATTGCCGGATGGGTGGCCTCATAGTCACCATTGAATTAGCTAACAATCAACTGTGAATCCGAGCAGGCGTCAACTTTTCTTGCCCCTGTCGCCTTACACATGCATATACTGGCTAAGTGGGTTTCATATTCAGCTTCATTGTTTGAAGCTTGAAACTTGAAC